TGCTTCTTTACAAGGATGATCACACCACAAGGCTTTTAGGGTTTTGGGTTTTTGTTTTTTTCTTTAAGATGATCAAATAGATACCAAATAAAGTTACCGGAAGGACCCCAACTCAAAATGGCTTACAGATCACTAGAGCCATTTTTATTTAAGATTATTTTTATTTAAGACCTTTGTCCAATTCCATGCTGCAAAATATTGCTTGTGTTGGGCAACATCTTCTGGCTCTGCAATCAAAAATGCTCCGTTTGCCATCATGATGAACTTCTGCAGTGCTTAGCCAGTGAACCTGTTAAACACAGAACACTGCCATCGTCTCTGCCTTACGAGAACTGCCAGATGAAATACATTTTCAGATATGGTCTTCTGGCCCAACTTTCTTACAGTGTTGAAGATACGGACCACAAGAATATACCCTAGCCAAATGGAAGAGGACCATGATAATATCCCACATGAGCATTTGGCCTCACTGGTCATAAAGTACTCCCACTGGTGCCTTGGCCTGACTTAGAGCTATGTGATAGTCAAGATCATAAAGGCCATGATTGTGAACCTTACCACCAGCTGTGTGTACTTGCATTTCAAGAACAATAACCAGCCTTGTATCTTTATTCCAATTCCCTCGACTTTCAGGTTAGTAAGATGGAACTCAAATACTACTAAGCAGGTATGTCAGAAATAGTGTTTCTCACAGATGAGCTATAAGACACTGTTGATTCTGAAGAATGATATATGTGTGGTGGTAGACTCCAGGGAAAACTAGAAGATCCAAGGGTAATATACTTTTTGTTCCTAAGAAGCCTATTGGCAAGAAAACACAACCATCTGTGATAGCAAGGACTGTAGCCAGTTAGAAGTACTGATGTCCAGAATTCTTGGAAAGCCTGAATTCCACCTCTGGAGCCTGTTTGAGCATCACAGGTTTTGTGTCTCAGCGACTGTCCATCTTGTGAACCCTGGCTTTGCCTGTCTGCTGCAGTATCTACTCTAGGCTTTTTCATGGTGACCCAAATGACTTCTTATTTTTAACTGTCAACAGCAATCTTCCAAATAACCTACTATTGATCATGAAAGAATATCTGGACATAAGACCCTGCTGTGCAAGAACCAAGAAAGCCTGGTGTCAGCCATGACAGAACCTTCTTTGCTGTACTCACACTACGCTGTCATTGTATTCTTTATAGTAGCTGTACATTGGTCTGTGGTAATTCTGAAAAGGTTTAGAATCCTGAATGAGAAACAGAAAGATTGAAGGAGCTCCACTTTCAGGTTTGCCATTATTTTGAGTTTTGATTGTGAGCCATCACGTTAGACATCATGCCTGTTGGTTCTTTTCTGGAAGAGGTTATTTTTATAGCTCTCTCTCTCTCTCTCTCTCTCTCTCTCTCTCTCATACAGTATTCTGCCTGCATGTCAGAAGAGGGTACCAGATTTCGTCACATGGCTGTGAGCCACCTTATGGTTGCTGGGAATTGAACTCGGGACTCTGGAAGATCATCCAGTGCTCTTAACCATTGAGCTGTCTCTCCAGCCCTATTTTTTATAATTTTTAAATAGTTTTTCTAGCTCTTTAGAAGCTCTTCCTGTATCCTTGCTGCTCCTCCTTTTTTTCCCTTTCTCTGAAAGAATAAGTGAGGTCTTCTGTTGTGTAATCAAAACTTGTAGATTTTCAACTGGGCATGATAGCGTACCTGTACTCCCAGCACTTAAGTGAGACAGGAGGATTAGAAGTTAAAAGCCAGCCTCTGCTATGTAAGGAATTTGAGACCCACAGGAGCCACATGAGAACCCTGTTTCAGAAAAACCCACACTGAAAGGGCCTTATGATTTTTTTTTGGAGGGTTTTGTTTTTGTTGGTTTTTCGAGGCAAGGTCTCACTGTGTAGCCCTTACTGTCCTGGAACTCTCTCTGAACCAGGCTATTTTTGAACACAGAGATTTGCCTGCCTCTGCTTCCAAGGTGCTAGAATTACAGGCATGCTCTACCACCTCCCAACTATGGGCCTTATATTTTTTAAGAATAGTACAAAACTAACTAGTCATAGACTCTCTCGTTGAGGAGAGAATGTTGAGAGCTTTGCTAGACACAGAGGGAAGAGTATGGACACCAGGTTTCTATATGAGTAAGTGCAGGTTTTTTCAGTCTTAGGTTGCTCACTTTAAAAGACTGGATTGCTAGGACTAAACCTGCTCCTTATCCTTTAAACTCTAGGACTAGTCTGTAGCAGTCATCTGTGGTTGTTGGCAGATTAGAAGAGGGAGGAGGGAACTGGGGAGGTAGTTCAGTGGGTTAAAACATTTGCCAGAGTTCAGATCTTCTAGCAACCACATAAAGCCAGGCAAGCATAGGATTGCTTAGAAGACAGGACTACCCCACCCCCCAGAGCTGGCTACACTACATTAGCTGTATTGGTGAGTTCAGGGAGAGACTTTACTGAATTCAGTGTATTCAAGAAAGAGCCAGGTGTCTACATTTGGCCTACACACATGACTACATGCATATGAAAGAGAAAGAGGAAAAAACACTTGCCTGAAAAGTGATCACCCACTAGATCACACACATATAGTCAGTCATTCTGGGTATGCAACATGTGGACAGGCCAGTAAACTCTGCAATATCCTCTCCCTTATTTTCATGTTTTACCAAACCCTTCTTTCTCTAATAGTCTCTATTTTGTCTCTTCTCAACAAAACATTAAAATGATTTAAGTGATTTTAGATTCTCAATTCTTTTGCTAAATCCAATCTGCTACCAAAATATTCAATGAGATTTGTTTTTTAGCTAGAATTTTTCTTTTAAATCTTTTATTTTGTGAATAATTCATTGTTCTCTGCAATCGTTCAAACCTGTTAAGTGGTTTTCTATCTAGTTTTTTCTAAGTTTCTGTCATCTTCCTTGTAGGTGTGTCTCTCTGTTGCCTTGCTTCCTTGCTTACCCCGGTTGTTTGTGGCCTTGTTTTCTGTCTTTTATGAATGTAAGGGATCAGGCTGGCAGTGGTGGCACACACCTTTAATCCTAGCACTTGGGAGGCAGAGGCAGGTGAATCTCTTAATTTCAAAGCCAACCTGGTATACAGAGTGAGTTCCAGGACAGCCAGGACTACACAGAGAAACTGACTCTGCTCCCCCCCCCCAAAAAAATGCAGACAAATTCATGCAGAAATATAAGTATTACTTATACAACACAGTGATAATATCTGTAGGCCTAATCATACAAAGTACCAGAAAATTTGTTTCAGAATTGAAGCAGGTAGGAAAGGAAGTTGAAGCTTTATATTATGTAGGAAGTAGTAAAGGTTTTGGTTAGACTTGGTAAGTTATATACTGCCCCAGGTTCTGGGAGGAGTTGTTAGGAACAGAACCCAGGTCATTGTCCATGCTAGGCATTTGATTTACTACTGAGCTACACCCCAGCCCAGCATATATGTAATGACTAAGATAACCAACCAGTAGAACCAGTAGGGAAGGTATAAAATTTCCAATAGGGAAATTTGGATCATACATATGTGTATTAAGCTACTTCTGCAAGAACATTTACACCACTATAGTTCATACTGCCCTTACAAGGGGATGTGTTGTTAATATTCGATAACAATGAAAGTAACCTAATTATATATAACATGAATGTCTACAGTGTCTAAAGAAGCAAACCCCATGAATATGTATGAGTATGTAATTCAACTTTACATAAAGAGTTTATAAATAGACATCACTAAACTTTTTTGTGGGATTTTTTTGGGGGGTTGTAAATAAACCAAGATACTAAATTGTATTGTTTTAGTGGGTTGATAAGCTTTCCCATAAATATCAGATAATAAATAGCTTAGACATAGATGCCATATAATCGCTAGCACACCACAGCCAGCCTTGTCACTGTTTAGTGAGACAAAACTGACACAGCCAGTGGTAGCATGTTTGGTACATATATTTGATAAAAAGATTACTTTAAAGGAAAGGGAGGGCAGATAATAACCATAAAAATGGGCTATTGCCGGGCAGTGTGGCACACACCTTTATTCCCAGCACTTGGGAGGCAGAGGCAGGCGGATCTCTGAGTTCGAGACCAGCCTGGTCTACAAGAAAAAAAAATGGGCTATTGGAGGAAAGGAGATTACTGATCAATGAGGACTTGTAGGATGTGGATACTTCATTGTGGCTTGTATTTAGACCACTTAAGTGTTCACTTTTTGTCCTTTTAATTTTTTCCATTATTTGTTTTATGTGTGGCTGTTTTGCCAGCATGTGTCTCTCTGTACCACCTATATTCTGATGCCCTTAGAGGCCAGAAAAGGTGGTCTTATGCCCCGAAACTGGAGTTAAAGACAGTTGTGAGCTACCATGTGAGTGCTGGGAATTGAACCCAGGTTTCTGGAAGAGCAGCCAGTGCTCTTAATGGCTATGCCATCTCTCAGTCTAGACCCCTGTCCTTTAAATTTTTTGTAAACATGTGTGACAGTGTACCAACTCTTAAAAGTTCTAAATTGTCTGGCTGGAGAGACGGCTCAGCGGTTAAGAGCATTACCTGTTCTTCCAAATGTTCAATTCCCAGCAACCACATGGTGGCTCACAACCATCTGTAATGATGTCTGGTGCCCTCTTCTGGCCTGCAGGCATACATGTACACAGGATATTATATACATAGTAAATAAATAAATATTTTTAAAAAAGTTCTAAATTGTCAAATGCTTTCTTAAAAATATGGTTAAGTATCATTTTAATTTTATATGGATTTCAATTTGCATTTAAATTGTGTTTTCCCAAGGTTTCTATTAAAGAAATATACCTGAAAGAATTTAAATATTAAAACAAAGTTACATTTATTGTCATCTTGCTGGCTTTAAAACAAGTGAATATTTAATCAAAAATAAAATATAAATACTGTTTTTTAATAGAATGTGAACACTAGATAAGTTAGAGGATTGGGTTTGTGGCGTGCAATTAACATCATGGCTTATTTGCATCATGAATTAACAGCTGTCCCTCTTAAAAACCCTTTCACAGGCTCAGTAGATGAAGGAGTTACAGAGGGGTTGCCTACACTTCAAAGCACTTCTAGCACCAATGCTCATGCAGACGATGACGACAGGTTAGTACCAACATAGCGTGTCTTTTTCTTATGAAGGTTGTTGGGCTTACAGCTCTAAATTCAGACTTGTATAAGAAATTTCTTGAGACTTTATTATAATTTTGCACATTTCCAAATTTGTGTAGTCCCCCCCACACCTTATATAATGATTGCTCTCTTGCCTGCTACAGTTTCCCTAGTCCTGTTCTACATATCATCCATAATTCCCAAGGAATTGTCTTCATTCAGCTTCTGAGGACTATATTTTCCTGTTTTCATCTCATCACTTCTCATGTAGCCTTCTGTATTTAATCTCTAAGTTCTTTCAACTCTATCTTCAGAATCCTTAGTTCACTTTTCCTCTGTACTACAGTCACATTGGTTTAAATCATCTTACTATTATAGTTTTCTTGAAATTGGCCCTTGATTGCATTCTTCACTTAAATTCATTCTCCATGTATTACCAGAGCATTTCATTTCATTTCATTTTTAACTAAGATGCCATGGTTTTTACTTAAATTCTCAATTCTTGCTGGGTGATGGTGGCACACACCTTTAATCCCAGCAGGTATTAAAGGCAGAGGCAGGCAGATCTCTGAGTTCAAGGCCAGCCTTGTCTACAGAGTGAGTTCTGGGTTAGCCAGGGCTACAACCCTGTCTCTAAAAACAAAAATAAATAAATCTAAATTCTTTGCTGTTTATAAAGTCCTGCATGATTCAAATTTACATGACCCTCATCAGTTCTTAAAACTGTCCATATTGTTCCTGCCTTTGGTCCTTTCTATCTCATAATCTTTTGGTGTGGGAGAATTGTCTGTATTCTGTCAATCATGTTTTAAATAAACGCTGATTGGCCAGGCAGGAAATATAGGCAGGAAAACCAGACAGGAAGTAGAAATGATGTAATGAGAACAGGAGAATTCTGGGAAGGAGGAAGTTGATTCCTCCCACTCCTGCCTAGACCACTGAAGCAGCAGGATGTGATCTTCCCCACTGAAAAAAAGGTACTGAGCCACATGGCTAACCTAGATCAGGAAATGGGTTAATCAAGATGTGAGAGCTAGCCAGTGAGAGGCTAGAGCTAATGGGCCAGTCAGCTTTATAACTTAGAGAGGTCTCTGTGTGGTTTTTCTGTGGGACTAAACAGCTGGGGGACCTGGCAGGACAGAAACCCCAACAAGCAGGACCCATTCATGTTACAATCTTTGCTTAAAATAATTTCTCCCCTGATTTCTACTCACTCTTAATTTTAATAATTTTATATATATGGGTGTTTGGCCTGTGTATATATTTGTTTACTACATCTCTGCCTGGTACCTGCAGAAGCCAGAAGATGGCATTAGATCCCCTGGAACTGCGGTTTCAAATGGTTGTAAGGCACCATGTAGGTACAGGGATTCGAACCCTGGTTCTGGAAGAGCAGGCAGTGCTTTTAACAACTGAGCCGTTTGTCCAGCCCCTTCTTTGACTGTGGCCTTCAAATCAATGACATGTCAGTTCTTAAAGAGACCTTCTGACTGCCAGCTTAAACCAACACCCAATCACTGTTGGATCTTTCTGATTCAATTCTCTACCTTCTGGTCTTTTCTATGATTATTACTTATTTCTCACCACTGAATGTAGAGTCTACTGAATGAATAATTCCTCATACAGAGAGCAGAACAGTCTTAATACCTATATTTGCTGAAAACTTGAAGAATTCAAAGATGTATTATTCTCTAGTAGTTAAACCTGGAAGATTATGAATTAAAATTATTTCATTTAATTAGCAAAGGCATAAATAAGATCAAGTGTCCTTATTCCTTAATTTTAAATAGTAATCAAACTGTCTGTTCTTTGCCAAGTCATGGTAGTATGGAGATGAAATAGCCTTTTCTCTTGAGCTCTGTTGAGTTTTCAGGGAAGGAAAGAGGTAGATGATGTAGGGAAGCAGATCATCAACAGTAATCTTCAGGGAGTTTGTACTGTGTTTAGGAGATTACCTACTAAAACAGTAAATCATTGTAGGTTTTCAGGAAGAGAAGGTACTGACTTGTTGGCATGTGGTCTATAGAATTAACCTGACTAGCTTTAATATAAAATATTTAGCTTTAATAAGGGGAAGAAGAGGGAAACTTACAAAGCCAGAGTTTCAGCAAAGCACAGGAAAACAAAGAGGGAAAACAAGCATACATCGATGGTTTTATAGGCTGTTTGGGGCCCCGGGGAAACACCCCACAAACAAGGTCATTGGTTGAGATTCCCCATCACTGACTCAACTACATTTTATAAAATGAGTGGATACTACTTAAGCAAAGAAGGTAGACTTGTAGAGAAAATTCACTGTAGGAAAACACAGCATATGGTACATTAGAGGAATTATTTTGCATCAAGTATATTTTGGGGAGTGAGAGTGACCAAAAAACGAGACTAGATATGGGAAGATAAGAGTTCATATATGAGTAGATTTAGACCCTTTGTGGGGGTTGAGAATTTATTCTGAAAAGACACTTTTAGCAAGATTTAAAGGGGAGGGGATGATAAAGGCCTAAATTAAAACAGGAGCAGAAAGGATGGAATTCAAAAGATTGAAGGGTATCTAAGGTAAAATAACTTGTGATATGTTCTGAGGGGTTTATGTCTATACTGAAAGATGCAGGCATTTTGGACAGTAATATTGCTTAACAAATATTTCTAAGTGAAAGTCCTTGTAAAAGTCTTTGTTTTTCCTCTTATTTGCTTAGCATTGGGCTGCAGAGATGTGTGTTCAACTTAAAAATCAGAGCCTGGTTTCCTTCTTTGGTTTATTTTTTTAGATTGGAAAATGTTCAGTATCCCTACCAACTCTACATTGCTCCTTCTACCAGCAGTACAGAACGACCAAGTCCAAATGGTCCAGACAGACCTTTTCAATGTCCAACCTGTGGGGTTCGATTCACCCGTATTCAGAACCTAAAACAGCACATGCTTATCCACTCAGGTAATCTTTGATGTTGTTGCATAAGGGGCATACCAAAACATTTGACTTTGCATTCCCAATTAAAATAGAATTTGTACTGGACATACCGGCCTATGCCTGTAATCCCACCACTCAATAGACAGAAACAGAAAGATCCAGAATTTGAGATCAGCTTGGACTATGTAATATAATAGAAAGCCTCCATCCAAGAAAGGGGGAGTGGGAAAGGAAGTGAAGGCTTAGTGGAATAAGGGAGGTGTATTAGAGAACAGGAAAAAAAAGCTAAAAGTCCAGAGAAGTCAGATGACACTAGGTTGGCTAGCTATGGTCTCCCCCTGCCCCCAAATTGTGATAGTGACTATAATGATACTGTTAATGTACTTTATAACTCCCTTCTTATTAAGCTGGGCATAGTGGTGCACACCTTTAATCCCGGCAATCAGGAGACAGAGGCAGGTGGATCTCTTGAGTTCAAGGGCCAGCCTAGTCTACAAAGTGAGTTCCAGGACAAGTAGGGCCGTTACATAGAGAACAAAACTCCCCTTATTAATATCTAACAATATTAAATACTCAAAAGCTTATTCACCATAAAGTGAGCCTATCATGATCATAACATACAGACATGTATGTAATCTTATTTCTATCTAATGTAGTATCTTAGTTTTCTTGTTGCTGTGATAAAATACCCTGAGAAAAGCAACTTTAAAGGAGAATAGGTTTATTTGGCTCACAGTTCCAGGCTACAATAAGTGCATCATGGCAAGGAATTTATAACAGCCGGGACTTGAGAGAACAGTCTTGATCCAGTGAATAATGTATGCATGGGAGTATCCATTTTGCCCTGTTTGCTAATACAGTTCAGGATTCCCTGCTCAGGAAAAGATCTCACTGGCAATGAAGCTAGATCTTCCCACACCAATTAACTTACTAAAGCTAAATCCTCAAAGACATGCCCAGAGGCCCATGAATCATGACATGCCCTACATGAATCCTAACAGATAGGTTTCAATGTAAACCTCTCTAATGAAATATATTTTCTTATTGGGGAGTTGGGGTGTCTAAGTGGTATAGTTTAAGTGTGTTTTGTGGCTAGAGGTTTGACTCCATGGTAGGAAATCGGGGCAGGAACTAACAAACATAAAATCCCTGGAGGAATGCTGCTTGCTCACAAGCTCATACTTAGCTAGTTTTCTTATACAGCCTAGAACCTCACACTCTAGAGAGTGATGCTACCCACAGTGGGCTGGGGCTTTTCTACATCAGTTAGTGATCTAGACAGTCCCCCACAGAGATGCAAGCTAATCTGATCACGAAATTCCTAAATTGAGATTTCATTCTGATGTGACTCTAACCTGTTGTCATGCTGACAGTTAACGCTAACAGGACAATTAATTCATTTTTGAAGTTTCTAAATACATGATTCAGAAAACAATTCAATAGATAGTACCCAGTACCTCCCCATTTTGTCCTTTTTTAAGCACTAGTGACTTCAAATATTCTGGAACATCTCTGAAAAACGTTAGTCTGTTTTATTGGCATTTTTTTTCAATTATGATCAAATTGTTATTCAGAAACGTGACATCTTAGAACCTTTTAGTTTATTTTAGTTTTCAGATGGTATTTTGCTGTTTTGTTTTATAGGAATTAAACCATTTCAGTGTGACCGCTGTGGAAAAAAGTTCACCAGGGCTTACTCGCTAAAGATGCATCGCCTAAAGCATGAAGGTAAACGCTGTTTCCGGTGCCAGATATGTAGTGCCACTTTCACTTCCTTCGGGGAATATAAACACCATATGAGGGTTTCCCGGCACATTATCCGCAAGCCTCGGATTTACGAGTGCAAAACATGTGGCGCCATGTTCACCAACTCTGGAAATTTAATCGTGCACCTGAGGAGTCTGAACCATGAAGCATCAGAGCTAGCAAACTACTTCCAGAGCAGGTGAGGTGCACAGCGAAAACCCAACCAGGAAAACTGCTTTCTAAATCTCCTGCTTTAGGGCAGCCTCTGTTCTGTTAGCAGGTTGCCAGCTAATTAGTCACATCCATTTTCAGTTGCCACTGTGCATATATACTCTGATCTCCTGATCTGATGAGCTTTTACTAAATCTCCTAAGTGACAAAGTCATATATGTTGTATAGTTGTATAGTATTAAAAAATATTTACTACAAAACAAATAGTAAAAATATCCCCACAGAAGACTCTTAAATATTTTTTTAGTGAGGTTAAATAAATTTCTATATTGGATCTTAACTAAATTTTACTAGCAGTATCTTAGTAATACGCAGTTCAGACTAGCCGCTAGCAAAGTTCCTCAGCACCACCCCTCCTATTTAATATCTTATGTTGCTAGGTGGTGATGGTGACACATAAAACTTTAGTGCCCGCACTCAGGAGGCAGACTCAGGCAGATCCCACCTGGTTCATAGAGTTTGGTTCCAGGACAGCCGGTGGTATACAGAGAAAACCTATCTTGAAAAAGGAAAAAGAAAAAATTGAAATCTTACGTAAAGGAATATCCATTGATCAATAAGAAGCATTGTTTGACAGCTATTACCATGGATATGATTAGATCCAGTAAGTCTCCTGTTTTTCTTAGTTTAGTGCTCTGGCTTTTTAGCATTAATAATTTATTATGATATTACCTTTCTGATTTATAGGTTATGCAAGTAAATATGGTTCTATTTCTAGCTCTGCTGTTGATTGAGCATGTCAGGTATCATTTAAATTTTAGCTGAAGATAAAACACAAGTTTTAATAAGATGGTATCTAAATCCTCCTTAGATATAAAACTATTATGTGTGTTTTTTAATACTTCCTAGGAATTCTACCTCTGTAGAAAGCCTTAGTTTCTCAAATATAAAAATCCTTCTAAATCCTTAGTTTTTAATTTATCTTCTTTTTTTAAAAAAATCTTTTCAGTTCCAAATTATTCATGAATAGATTTTTGTTTTTCCCCTTTAAACCAGGCATTCTTTTTTTGGGGGGGGGGGGGGGGTTCGAGACAGGGTTTCTCTGTGGCTTTGGAGCCTGTCCTGGAACTAGCTCTTGTACACCAGGCTGGTCTCGAACTCACAGAGATCCGCCTGCCTCTGCCTCCCGAGTGCTGGGATTAAAGGCGTGCGCCGCCACCACCCGGCCAGGCATTCATTTTATTTAATCACTTCTGATTCTGAATATGTGGTTATTGTCTCTAAAGCTAGATTATATACTTAATAAACATAGTTGTTTAGGAATAAAATAGTTCGGTTTCACTATTCCTTTGTGTATATTTCCCATATAGGGCCCTGTATCTTATACTGCTCTTGTCTAACCCATGAAGACTATTTAGGAAATACAGCACAAGACATTAGAAATTACTTTGCAGTGGGTTTTTGATCCTACTGCACGTACTGGCTTTGTGGGAGCCTAGGCAGTTTGGATGCTCACCTTACGAGACCTGGATAGAGGTGGGCAGTCCTTGGGCTTCCCACAGGTCAGGGAACCCTGATTGCTCTTCGAGCAGATGAGGGAGGGGGAATTGATCGGGGGAGGGGGAGGGAAATGGGAAGCGGTTGTGGGGACGAGGCAGAAATCCTTAATAAATAAATAAATTAAAAAAAAAATGAAACTCCAAAAAAAAAAAAAAGAAATTACTTTGCAGACAGAGAAACAGATTTTATTAATACTGAATTCTCAAATTATTAAATGGTTACTTCAAATGTGTTATTGACAGATCTAGCATAATATCCTCTTAAGTTCAGCAGTGAAGGTTTTTTGGTTGTGTTTTGTTTTTCAATACAGGGTTTCTCTGTATAGCCTTTGTTGTTCTGGAACTAGCTCTATAGACCAGGCTGGTGTTGAACTCACAGAGATCCACCTACCTCTGCTTTCCACGTGCTGGGGTTAAAGCATGTACCACCACCACCCAACACAGTGAAAGTTTAAATAAAATATCTGACTTATTTTTAATAAGAGATTCTTTCTAAATTCTTATTATTAAAAGGTAATTTATTACTGTTTCCATATACTAAATCTGCTAGTAAAGTGAGCACTATTTTCTCCATCTTTCAGCTTCACATAGTAGAATATATGTATCATCATCTATGCATAAGGACTTAGCTTCTTAGCTAACCTCTATCCAGTTGGTAATATAGAGGGAGGTTTATATATACCTCCTATTCAGTGTGTGTTCCAAGAGAAGTTAAACATTTACATTAGTCACATGATTTTTGCTTTAGTGAAGTGCCACTTACGTTACATACAGACTCCTGGACGTAGATTCAGAAAGACCATTGAAGTGTCCAAAGAACCACTGGAAGTAACCATTAATCTTTTTTATTGCTCATAGGGAGCTGTGATGCATCTACTGAATGACTTCAGTTCATATTCAGGAAAGCTTATTAACAACTTCATTGAAGAATTAGTGAAACAAAAAGTTCTACTCTTGTTTTACAAATGACATTTCTTTATTGTGGTTTGAAAATTAATTCTGTATTTTATTCTTTGCCTTCCGTTTAGTGATTTCTTAGTGCCGGACTACTTAAACCAGGAGCAAGAAGAGACTCTTGTTCAGTATGATCTTGGAGAAAACACTTTTGAAAGCAACTCTTCTGTTCAAATGCCTGTGATTTCACAGGTCTCCTCAACCCAGAATTGTGAAAGTTCTTTCCCTTTGGGGTCTCTTGGTGGGCTTGCAGAGAAGGAGGAGGATGTGCAAGACCAGCCAAAGACCAGTGCTCATGCTGAGGCCACCCAAGATGACCCCCCAAAGTCAGAGCTGTCTTCTATAACTATCGAGTAATTTTGTGATTTGGCCTTGGTTTTGGTTTTTGGAAAGTGCCTGTGCTTGGTCTTTAATGTTTAAAGTTAACTTTTTAAACAAAGAAGGGTGCCCTTTGTAAGCCCTGAAATTGGAGGGTTGCTTTGTTTTTGTTTTTTTTTTTTCATAGCTGAGAGATTGCTTCTGTATGTATACAATAAGGTAACATTGAAACAGAATATAAACTCTGAGAGTTAAAGAGAAGCAGCTGATTTCAAACATGGCAATTCTTCCCATTGTTAAAGTGGGCAGCAGCAGATACAGAAGAAACCAGGTTATTGTTGACTTTCCTGAGATAAGAGGGCTCATGGGAAGTTAGTAAACAGAATTTGACAATGCCTAAGTAAATGTTTACTCCTAGATGCAGGGTGTTATAAACCCTGTAGTTTTGGAAGTATTTATGGTAATTTTTTCAAATGAAGGTAAATAACTTTTGAAATCCAGCATATTCTTTTTTTAAGCCATTATGAATTTTCATGGTGAAAAATGGGTATCGGGCAGGCATTTCCTGTACCTTTATAGTACCACTCCAAAGGCTAAGAGGTGTGATTGAGAGAAGTCAGGCTGTGCATGGAATGGCCAGGGTACAGAATGAGGTATGTATACCCCAGCTTTATAGGAATTGTTTTAATACTGTTTTTCTTACTAGAATGAATGTTTACCTGGCCTTTGAATGCTGATACCTGGCTAACTAGGACATTGCCCAGATAAGTGTCCTATTGTCCCATCAACAGTACTTTCACTTGCATATACTATTGTGCTGCCATATAAAAGAAAAATATTGAAGATATTCTATATTTTATATATAGGTTTATGTATTGTTGGGGATGTTTATGCTGTGCTGTTTTGGACAAAATAAAAGAATTCTGTTTTGAGGCTACATTCTTAACCCAACTAAGATTGTTTACAAGATCACATATGACAACAGTACATTGTCCTTATTCTAAAATGGTTTGAGGTATTGCCAAGTTTGTTAAAAGCGGTTATAGTTTTCACAGGATGTAAGCAATAATGTGAGAGATAAGAAGAGGTTGTAAGATGATCATCCGTGACGCAGAAATTGGGGGTTATTAAAGACTAAAACCTAAAAACTTTGCTACTCAGATGATAACATTTATATGATACCCTAGATTGGTATATACTTTTTTTATCTGGTGCCATTAAAGCCTCTTTGATCTGAAATATTCATGAGTCCATGAATAATAAACTTTTGAGTAATTTTTCTGTATAGAAAATCACCCCGTTTCATTATTATGATAGCACCTGATGGGTTAGAAAATAGAAACAACATATGTTTGTTGTTTGTTTGACTTTGGATACTTTCTTCTGTTTTGTGACAGGATCATATGTCGCCATATGATAGGCTGGCCCAGAACTCATGATCCTCTTGCCTCAGTTCCCTCACAGCTCTTGCTAGCATTATATATTATAGACACTTGTCACCATACCCAGAGGAAACTATAGTTTCTTAGTCAAACACATGATCTGAATTTTGTTCCAATGCCAGACCTTACTTACTTTTTACATTATAGTAGCCTATTTCTTTAAAATTCATTGATTCTGTAATTTAGTTTCTTTCTCTTTGTCCATATTTTGCTACCTTACTTCTACTTTTTCTTCTTAATATTGAGAATTGGACCCAGGACCTTGGACAGCATGAGCAGACGATCTTTCACTGAGACACAACCCTTTCCTTTCTTTCCAGTTTTTCATCTGACTCACTTGCTCCCAAGCATAGAGAAAAATCAACTATGAAAGTCAGTAATTTTTACTTTACTGCCAAAAATGATATTCTAAAACTGTGCCTACTAATAAGTAAATTCTAAAACTCAGAATGAGTTTGTTTAGAATGACAAAGATGTATTAAATTCTTGTGATCAAGAATTATATTTTTGGTTCCAAGTTTTATTGTTAAGAGTCACAAAAAAGAAGAAGTAAGAATAAATCAGAGACGAACTGTTGAATTCTTTTCAGATTTTTTGGTTGAAAGTGTTTCAGTCTACCCTCTCCTAAGAATTCTTGAGTTAGGATGTCCCTGGAAGCCCCCTGTGAAGGACACTCCTCACTGTGAACTTTCATTGCTGATGACAAATCTTGTAGCCAGCCTTTGTGAAAGATTGGAGTATACCGTGAAAACACTTGTAGTTAGTTGCCAACTGCCCAAATATTTCTGTTCCAGTGAGAATCTACATCTTGACATTTGTTTATGGGTCTATAATAGGAAACGCAACTGCAAGAGATCATTTTATATGTAGTAACATTTAGTGTTTATTGAAAGTTGATGTCAGAAAGAATGCCTAGATAAGTACTTTATACCAGAATGTATGGAAAACATTTTGAAGAGATGAAAACCAGTCATATGATCCCTTCCATAGAAACCACCACGGTAACCAAGCAGAAGAGCATTCTTGTTTATAATATTTAAGGTAACTATCTTTCATAAGGCCTAAGAGGGTAACTTTGTGATATTTAAAGGGCTTAAATTTTAGAATGAAGGATATATTACTTTTTTTCAAAAGCTAAGCATTTTATACAAGAAAAGCTTTTGTTTTCAGTTTTTTCCCAATTATCAAATGGATAGGATGTGTTTGAGGAGTAAGGTTTTTGCCATGGTATTAGGTCTGGCCCCCTCCTGTCACATTGTAAATCCAAATGCATATCACTTGTATATGCCAGTGATTCTACTGATGCAAAGACAAATTGACCATGGCTTTTACTTTCTGCTTTTAAACTTTTCAAGAAATGAATGTAGATAAATGTTGCTATCCACAAATGTGTTTGGATGAATATCTCTTATTTGGCCATTTTAAGTAGTCCCAGTTTTTATTTCAAGTAACCACAGTTCATTATATTAACTCACTTTTGTTTTGGGTTTTTGGAGGGTGGCGTTTGCTTTTAAGTTCACAGTTTTGTTAAAACAAAATGAACTAAAATATTTAAATGGCCTCATTTCAGTCTTAAGTTTGAACATAACTCCCATTAAATAGGTTCAATGTTAAGATACTTTGTTATTAAAGACCAACAAACAAAAATACTTGTATTTTATTAATGTTTTATGAAATAGAGTGAAGTAATCAATGCCTCTGATGAGCTGAGTCATTGGTAACCCGGTTACTGTCTAAACTGCTGAGCCAGGCTCTCCTGTTCCCGAAACTGATCCCATTCCTATAGTAAGTCTTTCGCTCCTTTAAAAAAAAAACTTATTTTATTCTATTAATCTAATAGGAGCTACTTGTGCAGTTTGTGGCTTCTGTGTTGGTTTAGTCTGTTAGCTGTGAGTTTCCACAAGGTCCGTCACCGTGCAGTGTCATGGTAGACGGCAGGTCTCTACTAGTGTCACAGGATTGTTTCTTAGGACGACAGATGAACGGTCCTGATATTTTAACTGAAGAGATTTTGATTTGTGGAAGTAGTGAACAGGCGTATTGGAAATTTCCATTGGTACTACATCATCTGAGTGAAGGAACGAGTTTTGAGCTCTTAACTCGGGGTGGGGAAGAGATTAGGAAAGCTCACATACGGAGCAAACCGCCCAAAGGTGGAGGAGGAAAAGGGGTTCTCAAGGTAAGTTGTTGACATCAGGGTTTTTTTATATTTTCATAATTACTAAGAGAATGTGTAGAAGCCAGAAGGCACTGGAAGAATTGAGGGATCAGAGAGACTTTATCATGGTAAAGACAACTATGAGGAACATTTATTTACCACTAAACACGGGTTTTAGGAAAGATCATCAAAATTAAGATTCCTTATTTTGCTTTTATTAGGATTTATCAGTGTCATTCTTAACAGAATGTAGTGACACAGATTTAAAAAAAAAAAATCCTCAGCAAAATAGTTCAACTAAACAGTGAAGTGGGGCTGAGCCAGTCCTCATACAGGCTGGGGCAGGCTGGGGGTGTTTCACTACATAGAGGGTAAGATTTTTGCTGTGACCTTGAAGAGTTAAACTATGCTGAACAAGGGATTGGTACCAGCTATCACCAGGAGTTATACTTTTTATTTATTAATTTATACTAATGTGATAAGTTAGATGTTTCCCCTATATCATAATTCTGTCTTTATAACAGAAAAAGATAGTTCCATAGTTTTAGAAATAGTTGCTGTAGCAATTTCAGACAGTGCACTGGAGCTTTGGTTTTGGCAACATCTGGGCAGCGAAGCTATCTTCATTTGTTTCTGTGACTTCATCACACTCTGAGTAAGGCCCAGGCCCGCAGACACCAGGCTTCCTGTACACAACAGTTTACAAAGAACTTAGTTCAGACCATGGTTGAAAACATTGAAATTAATATTTTTATTAATTAAAAATAAAATATAAAATTTAAGATGAAATTTTCTTTTTAATTTTAGTGCCTAGTTTATATAAAGTCAAGTCCTTTATTTCTTTATTAAGTTAACTAGCTTTGCTAAGCCTAAAGCCCTGGGCTCAGTTGTGATGTCTTACTGGTAAAATCACTGATAATCATTTGAGGAGCTATAGTATCATGACTCTTACTAAACTCCTTTGTTTTTTCAAATGCCAGTCTGACCGTACCTAGAACTTGAAAAGTCATCGTGTGAATGAATGTTGGTTACCAAATTGCATCACCTGCTGAGGAGTCGGCCTCCCTGCACTAGGGCGGGTTGTGTTGTCTTCAAGACAGAGAAGCTGTTTTTGTAGTTGTCATTTCCAGAGAGAGCCTTTTCTGTGACTGGTGTGTGAGCGTGCCTTCTCCAGGACTTTCATTTTAGGTAGCAGTTTTCAAGTTGACAGACATCAAGGGACGCCTCTCACACTGAGCATGCATTGCAGTCTTGAAAGGTGCACTGCGCTTCTGCTCCCTGCAGTGACTGGCATCGGATATTTAGAAGTGAAATCTTAAACTTTGGTTTTTGCTTATACAGAATGATGGCTTCTGATGTTTAAAGAAACAGCAATCCCTGATGGGGTAAAATTTGGTTTTGACCCAAGTTCCAATGATGTATTTAGTTTGCTGGCACTGGTGTCCCTGTTGCATCAGCTAGATATTGCCTGCCTCTTTGTTAGGCACCCTTGTGGCACCTTATGTTCTCCTTGAGGGATAGTATGTGGCCTCTTGGTGCCTCTACTATCTTTTCAAAAGCCATTTTATAAAAATCTTAGGTACCCTATTTTAATATTTAAATATATATATTTGTGAAAAATACTTTTAGAACAGACTTTTTTTTTAAACATTAAAATTCCGGTATTCCCATTTTTAAGAGTAAACTAAAGCTTTTCCAGGCTTAGGAAGTATCTTTTTTTAGACCCGTAATAAGAAAGTCAGTTTGAGGTAGGAAACTGGAGTTCAGTGGTAGGGAAAAAGATGTCTGGTGAGGGGAGACAAATTTAAAGGTGAAAACAATGGCTTTGATGTAACAAAGGAATTTTTAAAATAGAACTACGGTTTTGTGTCTAATTTCGTATTTGCTGCTACAGTAGCTCACTATTTTACAGGGCTAATATATGAATCCGGCCCCCTTTAGAAACTGGAGTCCTTTCTAATAGAAGCAACCTGGAAAGAGACTGCACCAGTCTGCCAGACGGTGGTGGAGTGTTCCGTGTAGCTGATGTGTGCTTTAATATTTGCCTGTAGCTGGCAGCACGGAGGTCAGGGAAGCTTCCTACCCTGCCAGCTAGAGCAGTAACGACACTTGGGGAACTGGCATCTGTGAAGCAGGCCAAAGAGGGGACTTCTGAGGAGAAAATGTGAGTTGAGTTACATGAACGAGTGTTTCCATGTCCTCTACCCCTCCACTGTGCCAGTCCCCAGCTCACCAGCTTTGTACCAGTTGTCGTCACCTCGTTCAAGTGTAGCTTTACTTGGTGACCGTGGCCATAGCTAAACTACTTGGCATGTTTGACTTCCTACAAATGGTCTTAAATTTTGTTTTGTTTGATTTCCTTTAAAAAAATGTATACAGTGTCATACATAACTTCACATTTTATATACTGGTATCTGGCTATTAGTATTTTACAGAAACCATGGTTCTTGGTGACTACATATATATATATATATTTTTGTGACTTTTTTGTAAACTAAGTGCCGTTTCAACGTTACAATCATTTTTAGAGTTATTGTAATCAATGTGAATATCATGTTTTTTCAAATCTGTTCTGAGCCTAGTGTTTGCTTTGTGAACATACGTGTATTGTATATATTCTGTATAGTTAATACTGTACTGAAATATTAGCTTGTTTGATATGAGAAAAGTATGTATTGAGTACTTTTTTGCTAGCCTGATTGCTTAATCTTTTTTTAAAAAAGATTTAAACTTTTTTTTAATCTTTAAACTGGCCTTTATTACATGATCACAAATAAAGTTGCAGTTAGAAGGGATGGACAGGTAAAAATTAATCTTGAGTGTTTTGGATAGAAACATGAGACAAAGATTGGTTTTTCTTTTTCATCATTAAAATGTCTTACTGGTGTTTTATGAAAGAAGTTTTCCTGCTGTTGTCATTGACTGCTGACTAGAAGGAGGACCTGGTTATTGAGTATGTGCAGTCTAGAGACGTTTACACTGCACCGCACCTGTCATCTGCCTGAGTGCAGATCCTATCCATGTTCAAAGAGGGCAGCTGAAGAAGCTGTCAGGACATGAAGCTAGGAGCCAGGTTCCTGGGTAAAAGTACTTACTGGGTGGTGGGCTGCCTCTGAACTTTTTAAAAATTATTTTCTATTTAATATTGACTAGAAATACATTGCTGCCGTTTCAGTGATGACTCACGAACAGGATCAAAACAAGTGGGAAATGGAAAAGTAGCTTATTGCGGAAGTGTAGTGTGCCCGTGCAAGCCTAAAAGGGGCCTCAAAGGAAATGACTGTCATGAGCTCAGTCAACCAGGACCATTTTAGTCATTTAGGTTCAGAGACAGACGTGTTTTAAGAAGTGCTTTGGTAGTAGGCACTGTTAACAAGTTTATCAGATCTCTAAAAGTCAGCAGACTGGTTCCTTGATATCCTGAATCATAATTGATAGGGCAGAGGGAGAATTCAAAATGGTTTTATCTTGCTGTTTTTATGAATAGAAAGATTTAAAGAATGATACTAAAAGCAGTAATTGGTTAGAGTTAAAATTAATGATTCGAGCCTTTTATAAACAAGAAAGTTTGTTCTAAGAAAAACAAAGTAGCAAATTATAAACCTACTAAACTTAAAGGAGGGGAGGTGTGCATAAATCTCTCATAATGTAGTGGTTCTTTTTCATATCAATAAAGTTCACAGGTATAAAAACAGATAGGTGTGTTTAAACTATAAAGCACTCCCTCCAGTAGATTGCTCTGTGACCAGGGTTAACACTCCTGGACGAGCATACAAGGAACAGACCTGTCTCTGCCACCTTTGTATTTACCTCTCTTTCCCACCTCAGAGTTTCTCTTCTATTTCAAATTTTATTTTCTTTTCCAGCTTCTCAGGCTATTTCAGAGACTTCACTGTGCTACCTTGCAGCATGACATAGTGTCTTTGACCTTCTTCCCAGACCTCTCTCCTCTATCTTAAGTCCTTTTGCTGGTTTTACTAGGAGCATTTGCTGAGTAAATCTCATTTATCAGAGAACTTGAAAACTTGGGCAGGATCAATACTTGCCCCACCCCTAGGTAAATCACCTTTGATTCTCGCCATCTAGAAATCATTCATTGGGAAAGTAGCTATAGAACACAACCAAATAAAGATTCCCAGACTCTGGTTTAGTTGGGGCCAAAGGCAGAAATGCTCTCTTACAATTCATACATATGTACGTAGTAAGATCCTCCAGTAGAACTTTTTTTTGGTCCAGTGGGCTGGCCACTGTAGCATAGACAGACCTTTAGTCTTTAGAACAACTGCTCTTGGCCGGGTCAGAGATACCTCACACTTTACACAATCCCATGTCTGCATTTTCTCCACCTGCTTCCTCAAACATCACAGTCCATATCTCCGTTGTCAAGGGAGCCTCCTGCTCGCAAATGGGGCTTCTTTTTTTTTTTTTTAATTTATTTATTTATTAAGGATTTCTGCCTTGTCCCCACAACCGCTTCCCATTTCCCTCCCCCTCCCCCGATCAATTCCCCCTCCCTCATCTGCTCGAAGAGCAATCAGGGTTCCCTGACCTGTGGGAAGCCCAAGGACTGCCCACCTCTATCCAGGTCTCGTAAGGTGAGCATCCAACCTGCCTAGGCTCCCACAAAGCCAGTACGTGCAGTAGGATCAAAAACCCACTGCAATTGTTCTTGAATTCTCAGTATTCCTCATTGTCCGCTATGTTCAGCTAGTCCGGATTTATCCCATGTTTTTTCAGGCCTAGGCCAGCTGGCCATGGTGAGATCCCAATAGAACATCCCCATTGTCTTAGTGTGTGGGTGCACCCCTCGTGGTCCTGAGTTCCTTGCTCGTGCTCCGTCTCCTTCTGCTCCTGATTTGGACCTTGAGATTTCTGTCCGGTGCTCCCGTGTGGGTCTCTGTCTCTGTCTCCTTTCATCGCCTGATGAAGGTTAATATTCCTGAGGATGCCTATGTGTTTGTCTTAAATAAGAAGGGGCTTCTTGATTTAACATAATGTTCTCTATTTTCATCACTTGTCATTGACAACCATCCTGCTCTCTGGATGGATGAACCCTCAGCCTTTTGGAGGTAATGGCTTTTGAAGTAAAGAATTTTCAAAAGAAAAAGAACAGACTAGAGGAACACCAAGGAAAGGCTGAAAAGTGGAGGAACATCCTGACTTGACGTTACTGACAGGAAAAGGCCTGGGGAGGAGCCAGCACTGAGTGGCTCCTGAGAAGAGGGTGTTTCAGGTAGAGTTCTGAGTGAGTGCAAGGCCATTGGCTGGGCTTTGTTGCATTCCTGAACAGGATTGTAATAAAAGCTTGGCAATGGCCAAGCTAGAGAACCGTGAACTACATACAATACCCACTCATAATCCCAGCACCTAGGAGGGTCAGAAATTTGACACTGGCCTGGGAATTTTTTGAGGCACTGTCTCAAACACTGTATTTGGTAGGAAAACAGGTCATGTTAACTGAGCAAAAGACCAGGATCAGAGCTCTCTAGAAAGATTAAGAACAAATTGAGAGAACAAATAAAGACTTCATTGAGTTCCTCAGACTTCAAGTTAGAGCCCAAGAGAAGATAAGAGAGTAGGGATACCAGAGAAGCAGCAAGTTAGAGGTTTGACTGAAAAGTGGGCCTTGAGCCTAGGGAAAGTCTTGGGTCCCAGCAGTAGGGAATATGTGCTATGTCTGTCCTATACCCATGACCTATTCCACTTCTCTGGCAGCCTGGCCTTGGTTTTGAAGGGAAACTCTCCAGAACTCAGAAAGACTTGAGTTCTGTCTGGGAAACTGCAACTTGCATGTACAATGTGCACTCACGTGCCAGAGGCCTCAGGTATGACTGCCATCACTGCAGGTGGAAGAATGAGCTTACATCAGGCCGAGGAATGTGGTTGTACAATACTTAGCTTGTTATCAGTGTACATGTTCTCGAGCAGAATTTATCTACTGAACCCACCAAGTTCCTGAGATTGAGTATTCCAGACATTCTGTTCATAAGCATTGGACAACCCAAGAACAAGGTGTGGTGTTGGGCACACAAGCACAGATCCTGCCCTGCTGGAGTTGTCCTTTGGGGGGGAGGGTCGGATATATAGGTTAGTACATGCTGCAGGAAGACATCTTGGTAGACTGAGGTCAGGTGACCAAAAGTGACAGTTAACTAAAGTCCCTAAGGAGGCGATAAAGACAAGAGTTTCACAGGCATATGGAATTATGGTTGTGAGCTGTCATGTGGGTGCTGGGACTAGAACGTGGGTCTTCTGGAAGAGCAGTCAGTGCTCTTAACTACTGAACCATTTCTTTAGTCCTTGATTAACATGCTAGTTGCACAAAATAATGACCTTGACATTTTCCTACATGAATATATCATGCTTTGTTCTTTGTCACAATTTCTCACTCTCCCTTTTTCTCACCTCCATACATTCTTCTCCCTGCCCCCTAATCATTTCTGTCTTCAAGTTATCTTAGTTTTTGTTTTCACATGTAAAGATACGTGTCTTAATCTAAAGTATGTCCTGGCTCCAGCTATGGTTGGTTGGTTGCCATGCTGAGGATAGAACCCAGAGAATCTCCAGCATGCTAGCTAGTCCACCACTGAGCTAAATCCACAGACTCCAATACTTGTCTTTCTGGGGATAAGTTACTTTATTTAATATGCCTATCCCTTTTCTTCCAAATGACAGGATCTCATTCTTTATGGCTGAATAATACTCCATTGTATACATGAACTATATTTTCTTTATCTGTTCATCTGTAGATAGACACACAATCTGATTTTATAACTCAGTTATTATGGGCAATATTGCAGTAGACATGGGAGTACAGGTATCTATATTAGGGCTGATTAGATTCCTCTGTGTGTTCCCAGGAGTGGTATTGAGTCATAGGGTAATTCATTTCAGTTTTTTTGAGAAGCTTTCACACTGACTTCATATTGTGTTGTGTATAAGGGCCCATTTTATATCATTGCCAATATTTGCTGTCTGTTGATCACCGTTATGACTGGAGTGAAAGTAGAATCCCAATGTGGTTTTGATTTGCATTTCCCTGATGACTAAAAATACAGTAGCATTTTTCCCATTTATGTTGGTCAATTGTACTCCCTGAAGAAGTATCTATTCAGGTCATTTGGGTATTTTCAAAATCTGTATTGGGGCCGGGCGGTGGTGGTGCACGCCTTTAATCCCAGCACTCGGGAGGCAGAGGCAGGCGGATCTCTGTGAGTTCGAGACCAGCCTGGTCTACAAAGGGAGTTCCAGGACAGGCCCCAAAGCTACAGAGAAACCCTGTCTCGAAAAAAAAAATCTATATTGGCCAAACAGTATTGCAAATGATATGGTTTCTATGTGATTATTTTGGGGCTGATCAGCTGGAAAAAAACAGTCAGCCTCCTACTACATGAAGCCATTATGAAATGAAATTTTTTACAATCTCAGCAATGGCCTCATTTTCAGCAATCAGAACAACAGTAAATTTATCTGGTGGTACTTTTTGAAGTCTTCAGAAACACTTTATTTCTTCCTCAGATATGCCTGTTTGTATTTATTGTACCATTATTGAGTCTTTGTCTTTTCCCCACTAAAGCCTGAGCTCTTAAAGGTCAAGGACAGTGTCTTCCTCATTTTTAGGGTCTAGAAGAGAAGTCTGTTGAAGGGCTAGTACATAGTAATAGCAGGTACTCAATTAAATGAAGATTTAACTCTGAAAAAAAATCTGGTCCACCCATCACTCTTTTTGTCAAGTATTTTGAGTACCTTTTGATAGCTATTAGCCTCGTAAGATGAATAGCTGGCAGAATTGAAGTCAGAAGACTGGTCCAGCATGACCCAATCTATGCCTCCTTTCTTATTATTTTGGAGTCAACGGCGGTACCCTTAGTGGCTGGAAAAGAAACTTG